TAACCCAGCCGCTGGGGAGCAGTGCCCTCCCCTGGGGGTACACTGTTCCCCGGTGCCGGTCCCAAGCCCGGAGAGATGGGGAGGGTTGCGTCAGGAAGGGCATCCGGCGTAAAACTTTTGCCAAGACGGACATGCGAGTTGATAGGGCGGTTTGCGGGGACGGATGGGAATTAATGACTCGCTGTGGCGACCCCTGAAAAGGGACGTGCCGAAAGGAGAAGAAGAAGAAGAAGATGACTCTCTTAGTCAAAAAGGTTCCTGCCCCCTGTTTTAGGGGAGGGCCGGAAAGGATTAATGGTACTATCTTTCATTTAAATAATAAAATAATGATTTCAGATACGAGTATTTTTGAATAAAAAGCTTGGTCAAGGGCCGAATTAAACGTGTATCTCAAAGCACTACTGAAGATCTAATAAATATAATCACAGACATCATTTCAAATATGAATGTCATTCAATTCCACGACTGTCTCCATTTCAGTGACGACTCTCTCGGCCGAAGTTCTGAAGCTTTCTCCATATGAGAAGTACTAAAATGATTTTAACAATGTTATGTAAAAAAACAACACCAACAACAACCTTGTCAGTGGATGATTATCTCTTGCTATGGTAAACAATGCCCCCCAACCCCCATCTTAGTTTTTTCTAAATTGTTTTCTTTGAAAGGTGTCTATAGTTGGACCAACATCCAAACCACTGCAATGGGAGTCTCTTCAATGTTTGCTCAGCCTTGAACTAATGATAAGAGCAACCCCATTTATTAAGATGAGCTACTGTCAGCAGGAGACATTTGAAGACACACCGTAAAACTTTAAATTGGAACGGCATTGTGAGTTTGCCTGCTGCAGTCTCTGACCTTAGTTTTCGTTGAAATTTGGCATACATTCACGGTGCGCGGCATTTTCAGACTAATCTGGGATGTTTAATGATTTAGTTGGACTGCTTTTTTTTTCCAGGGTGGAATGGTTATATAACATGTATCTTCAATGAGTTTTAAAAACAAGAACTGGCAGGAGTTTACATTTAAACCCCCGTGTATTTGTTCCCTATGCCCTTTACTCTTATTTTTTTAGCTTTCATTGTTGACATGCTAATTGGGCAGCAATGGCTCAAAGTACAAAATCTGAAAGAAAACGGGTAAAAATGAGCACTTAAAGGGAGGAAGAGACCTTGGATTATATGGCTGTCGTACCACTAATGCTCCTGCCTTCTGGACTCACGTGCACATGCATGCACACACAAAGCTTTACTGAAATCCAACATTGTGTGAGTTCTACATGACATTAGAGCACCTCTGTATGACAGGTTAAACACAACATACAGTATATGTTTAGTTTTATACCACAATGTGTAATTGTTAGAGTGGCTCCGCAGATTTGT